TGGACGTCCCAGTGGCGGTACCCGCGGGGAGGCCTGCCCGCCGGCAGCCCCGGGGGTGGCCGGCCCCGAGGTCTCTGCCCTGGCCTTGTGGCCGCCGGGCCCTGCCTCTCCTTTCCCTCAGGAGGGAGGCGGGGGGTGTTTTCCCTCCCCTCTGCGGGCAGGCGGCCACGGATCCCTCCCGCAGTCCGCTCTCGGCACGCTGAGAGCCTGTAATAAATATTCACGCTCTATGGTTAGTTCTGTTCACATCCAGTGGTGCCCTTTGAACTACCTCATGAGGACTTAGTCTTTAAAATAAATCCTGATAATCCCTCAGTTAACTTAAGAAAAAAACAGAACACCTATCTGTGTAGAAGAAACTATTTTTTAAGGATCTTTCTGCTATTTTTTTTTTCTTTTCTAAAATGCACACTAGGTCGCTCTGCCATAGGACTGCTCTGAAGAGAGTCGCTTCTGGTGCTGCAGTATCCGCACTTCCTTGTTCAGAAAAATGTGGTCTTTGGGGCTTTGTCTCCGAGCAGCAGAGCTTTGTGGGAACCTACAAAATGGCAGGCAGTGCCAGCGCCCTGCAAGGTTGCCGCAGGTTTTAAAATGGCTTTCCAAAGTGGAAAAGTAATGCCAAAATGGAAGACAAAAGATGGGTATGGTAGACGGAAAATATTTTCTGAAGCTTTTTTTGAGTTTATTAATTCAGTTAAAAACATATGCGTAGATCTTTCTGAAAGATATATTAGTGTCCTAGAAAAACAAGTCATTTTAGTACAGGAGAAAACCAGAATGACATCTCTCTCAGTCTGTTCCTGCATTTATGAGAAATGCATGAGTTTCCAAAGGCTTGAAACTTCCTCTTTCCAGCATTTGCTGTACAATAGAAACTTGTTGCGGCTTTTGTATGCGCAGACCTCAGTTAATGAAACTGTTTGAAACCTTTGCATGTTCTAAAATGTATGTGCAGGTTAGCTGTCTTTGTGGTTTTGTCTCTGTGCGCAGCTGTGTTTGTGTTGTATCACTGGTTTTGTCTTTACTATTGTCTACAGTGCCCTGCTGCTCTCAGGTAGGTGCTGTCTCGGATGGGTCTCAGTTAAATGACTTTTTTGGGTCTGCTCCTGGTACAGTCCAAATTAGAGTTTTGCAGCGTTTATCTTGACTCTTCTTGCAGTTTTGTGTGGCTTCTTAACACTCTTCTGATACTTGTCAAAGACTCAAGAGCATGATCTTAGCCGTGTGAAAACTTTGGAAGATTTTAAAGTCTCAGATATGGACTTCTCGCATTGCTGCTGTCAAATGATGGCATTCTTCAGAAAGATGAGCAGGATCAATAGGCTCAGAAATGCCTGCCTTCTTGTAAAGCTCATTTTCTGTGTAAATGTACTGGTTTGTTGAAGATGAGAAGAGTTAACGCTGTTGTTACCAAATTGCCAAACTGAACTACGTAAGCCTTGATAATGTGTTGAACAGTACATTTTATGATCGGCTTTTGCCTTTTTTAATATGTAGATGTAGAAGAACAGAACAGGCTGGGTACGTGCTAATCCTCGTTCTCCTGGCCCTTGTTCTGTGTAGGTAAACCTCTGTGCCTGGTTTTAAAAATCCAAGCCTTAGTCTGCAGTCTTGAAACCTCACAGTGGCTACTACTGAAAGTAGCACTGTCTCTTCAATGACCTACAAATACTGGACGGGTCTTTGCTGTCAGTATACAAAAAATAGCTGTAACCTTTAGTGTCTAAGGGTTGAATGGTCTCAGGGTATTTGTGTGGACTAAAGAAGCCTGTTAGAGTGTGTTTTGGGTTTTTACTATGACACATTATATTTTCCTTGAACTGTTAGCTATTACCTATAGAAAGCCATACCATAACTGTGGTGCAAAGATAGGTGCATCATGTTGCATTTTGTAGTACAGCATTTAATTTGGCTCCAATTTGCAGGAGCTAATAAAGAGCTTGTTATCTGTCATTTCCCCAGGTTTCCAAATCGGAAGAAATTCTTGTGGAACGTTGCTCAGTATTTTAGAAGCAGAGAGAGTTGCTCTACACAATGTCATTCTCCAGCAAAGCAATGGAAATGAGGGACCATTCACAACAGTGTTAGTGTTACCCTCTTTACAGGTTATTTTGACGGAAGCCTCTCCGTAGAATCAAAGCTAGTGAAGCAGGCATATGGTTAAAAAGATAAAAGGGCCCAAATATCAAAGTAGCTTCATTACACAGATACCTTGGCGTCTAGGGGGTTGGAAGGCAGTGTCTTTTTTGTACCTTTTGTGGCAATAGGTAACTCTGTGCTGGAATACGTAACATTATTCGATGGCTATTCTATATGAACTTTCCTCAGTGTACAGCTCTAAAGGTAAGGCCTTGCTTGTTGGTTATAAACAGGGTAATATTATCAACTGTTGGAGATACTTCCTCTTATCAAATAGCTGAGTGCTGATTAGGCAGTGCAGTGTAGGCTAGTTGTGGTTTACACTTATTAAAGCATAATTACAGCTCAGACAAATGATAATTTAAATGCTACGAGCACATTACTGGCTCTGTCATATAGCAAAAAGAAGAAAAGTTTTGAACACCAGGGCCTAGAGAATATGTAAACTTACATTTGGAAAATTCATGTATTTTTCAGCTTTTGCTCTGTAATTTCCATCTGCTCCAGATCTGTTTGGAGAATAAAGTTCAGTTCACTAAAGTATTCAAGAGCCGGTGACGCCAGTGGGAGGTTTTCTGTTGACTTCAGTGAACCGTGGATCAGATCCAAGGAGATAAATCCAGCTCTTTCTGAAGTCAGGAAGAATTAGTGGGATCTGGCCTAGGTCTTTGTGAGGTCATTTCCAGGTCTTCCCTAGAAACTGGGTGCGTGGCTTGTGATACTCCCCAGGCACAGAAAAAGGACAAAATCTGCTTTCAGGGAAAGTTGCGAGGATGTATGAGTCACTCCTGAAGTATCAGGAAACGATGCAGGGTGGGGCTGTGACATGCACTGTGGTCAGCAGATCAGAGAGATGAGTGGAGAGAGCATGATCGGTGCCATCAGAGATGTGGCAATCTAGCTCTACCTGAGATTCTTCAGAGCCTGCAAACCTGATCGGTTTTGGGTGTACCCTTCTGAAGATAACCAAAGTCTCATCCCTAGAAAATAGGCCATGTATTATACCAAATGGCAAAACATAGTCTTACTAGTGTTTTCCCAACAGAAATAATGACTTTCGAACATTCATGATGACTTTTAAATGGTTAAGGCTGACAAAGTTAGAAACAACCAGAAACAGTCTTACGCTCAAAAGTGCCAACAGTTTTTTTGGACAGTAGACATTGCTCTATACATTATCTATATTTTAGACTTGCTCAGGAACTTAGTACAGTTTTGGAATGTTTGGGTACAACTATTTTTGCAGACTATACCATTTGCATAGAATGAAGCCTTGAAAGCACTGTAGGAAGAGGACAATATTGAAAAATTATATAGAGTATCTTGTCCATGATGTGTTTCTGATGATTCCATGCCTTCACAAACCGATGTATGCTGCTGCTCAAAGAAGTGTAGTAAAACTGGTGCTTCTGCGTATTTTATTTTTCCTGCAGGTTTGAAAAACACTACATAACAGGTAAGTAGTATTGTTGATTGGAGTAATGAGAACATTTGGAGTCATGGAGGGCTTAAATGTTTTGGCCGTATGGAGCTGGTCAAATATAGAGCCAATAAGAAAAGAAATGAACAATTGTGCCTTTCTGCTAGACTGAGTGTCTAGCTACTTCTGAACACTGTAAAAAAGCTAGTTTACACGTTTTGTTTATTTTTGGCCCGTTTCTTGATCATGACTTTTTTTTTCCTTGAGTAATAACACAGTTGCTGTATTTTGCTGAAATTGCCATGCAGACTGGAGATGGAAATGAGTTCAGAGGCAGTGGCAACACTCATGAAGCTGTCCTCGGCTTCAGAAGCCCACAGCTTGGTTCTCTCAGGCTGGAGACCTTTGACCCCGAAAGTAAGAGTATCTACCAAGAGGTAAAGGGCTATTGGTTCCGAGGTTCATAAAACTAGACAGGGTGTAGCCACAGGAGAGAAATGCTCATGCAATTAATGCATGTTCTATTTGCGTCTTTGAGGATTATAGAAACCAACCCATCTGATATGTTGTGGCATCCTCACCCCCCTGCCAGGGCTTAGTCTTAGCTCCAGTGGGTGGGGTCAGTAACAGGCTTGTCATCCCTGTCTGTACGTACCTGAAAATGCGTCTCCGTGGCTCCTATACCTACAGCATTTTTTTAGAACGTCTATTGTCAGCATTCAAAGCTGCTTAAAATGCGCAGCATTAGGTGTAAAAAAATTAATAACTCTTCATCCAGACTACTTCGTAGCAGATGGGCAAGCATATTAATTTCATACTGTGCCCAATCCCTCAGAACGCTTGCTGGTTTCACATGGTTTGGAAAGGGCTCAGAGGAAAACATGGGATCACAAGTTGTAGTAAGAGAAGCTGCGTTTACACTAAAATTGTTTCAATTCTGGCATCTAAGATACTTCTTTTTGCCCTTTTAGCCATTCTCTGTGAAAGAAGATACAGATGGAACTTTGTCAAAACACTTGTTAAAAACTGTTTGAGAGTGTCCTAAATAGTTTTTAACATGTTTTATCGCATGACAACATCTCTGCGCTGTGGACAGAACCAAAGCAGATGGTTTTACAGACAGATAGTTGTCCCGTCTCTCAGTATGGTGTTATCAGAAGGCACATTAAGTACTTTTCTCACAACCTGGAGGTGTCTGCCATTAAATTTGCTTGTCTCCGACTTGGCTATATATACAGGTCGCTACAAGGCGAGCTAGGGTGTGGATTTACAGTATGTCAGGTAACCCACAGTAACAACCTGTGGACACAGCTGTACCCAGCAGTAAGCATGGACATGTATTGCTCAGTGTAAACAGGGTCACAGCGTGCACACAGGCAGTTTCCACGGAGCAACTCGCATGCTGGAAATCCCCACCCACTCTTGCCTCACTCCGATCTGTGTGTGTAGTCATACCCCAAGCAAAGGTGAATAAATACACCCATGAGCTGAGCAGAAAAACTGCATCCCACAAACACCGTTTAGTGCAACACAACGGACGGCAGAGTGGGGTTAAGAGAGCTAGGTGTTCCATAGCTCACAGAATGGTTTTTTTTTTTCCTCACTGAAATAAATTGCTTTTATGTTGTAACTACTTTCCTAGTTCATGAGTTTCCCTTATTTTTTCAGTTAGCAATAGCTGTTACCAAAGTTCATCTGTTTCTCTTTGCACTTTAATTTACAGCCCTTGTACTAGTCATTTTATTGCTTCAGCCTCTGAGTGAGAGAACTTTTACAACTTGTGATTACTGAACTCGGAGAAGCAAGCTTTTTGACCTGCCTGGGGTAATTATAGAGCCCATTGCTTCTTGGGAGGGGCGTTCAATGTTTAACAAACTGTGGCAACTCTAACTGTGTGGAGCCTGGACCAGTGGATGGGAGTGGAAAAAAAAAATTCCAGACTCTTTCCAGCTTACATTTTAACTTGTCTGGTTTTAGTCTCCAAAGGGCTGTCCTTGAAGTTCTGCCTTCCCACTCTTGAACTTGATGCTGTTCCTTTCTTAGCAGTTATGAGGGGATTGGAGCCAATCTATTTGCATATGAAAATAATTTTCCCTTCAGAAATGATAGGTACATTACTCTTGATTAATCCTTCCATGGGGTGAGGCTTCTGCATGCCGTGCCATCAAAATAAGGCTCTTGACAGTAGAGAAATTGTCCCGTTGCAATTACTACTATTGTTTCATATTATAGGGGCTGTGGTCACGGACAAAGATTCAATTGTGTTCAACAGTTTAAAAACAGAGAATAGACACCCTGTGTTTGAAAGAGTTAGTGATCTGTATTCTGTGACCAGTAAACTGAAAGGTAAATCTAAACTTCGGAATTAGAAAACGAGATGAGAAAGATTTGATGCAATTTACACGTTTTGCCCAGTTAATCATAAGCCAGCTAGCTAAGAGATTGAAGGCTCCCACCTGTTCTTCGTGCACTCAAACAGGTATTATTTAAGAAATGCTGAACTTGCCTTCAGGAAAAGAATTAGGACGTTATTTTGAAAGTGCCAAAGTGTTTCTACTTTTTATCTCCCTAGATAAAAAGATATATTTCCTGCATAATAAGTTGCTTAGATCTTTTGTGGTTTTGTGTGCTACTGTGTACGTATACATTACATCAGCGAGACCATGCATGTGTGTTATTCACTAGACGTGAATGGAATATTTTCAGCTAATGTGATTTTATAAAAATGGTTTTTTAAGTAAAATTCTTGAAGTTTTATTGGTGCAGCTAGATCTTCATCGCCAAGACTTTTGAAGTCTAGGGTTTGCTAGTTGTTTCTGAGAGGAAAGAGGAGAAAAATACAAGCAGAAGAGTTTGCGTTTTCCCAACGCGCATGCAGGCAATCCAGTCCCTCTGCACAGGCGCAGTACCCCGGCAGTGCCCTGGGCACGGCCGACACACACCTGCTCCGTGCTCCTGCACCTGTGGTTCGGGAAGCCTGGTGCTCTTGGCAGCTGAAACAAATGGCTCCAGGGTCATGGTGGTGTAGAGCAGTCCTGCTTATTACTGCTCTTTGCACAACGCAGTATGAAGAAACAGCGTGGGCATAGCTGGGTAACAAATAACCATGGTTATTACATACTCGCCAATGCAAAATACAGTCTCTAGTGGCTTTAAAAAGTTAGAACATGGTGGGTGACGTCAGAAGGTTCAAAAAAACACTTAAAGGAGTACTGTACAGTTCATCTCCTTTCCCTTGACTGTAAACTATGCATTTGAATTTTGAGTTACTGATGTTGAGAGATACATCTTTCATCACTTGCCATTTTGTGACATGATGGTGAAGGCCTAGTCTATCTCATCTATTTATTTTGACAAAGTAATCAGAACTCTTCAGGTAAGACTGCTTCATTTCATTTACAACCAGCACAGAAGTGCCAATCCTTAAAAATAAAGGCTTCCACTGTCTGCTTGGAATCAGTTAAGTTCACAGAGGATATATAAGTCTATTTGCAGTAGAAATGAACAGCAAGTTCAAACTTAAGTCCCCTGTACTCTACGTAGATTTTCTGCTGCAGAGTACTTGGCTGTTTTGAAGTATGCAGAAGCAGCATGTTTGAACATGCACTGTGTTTGCTGGCAGCCTTCACATTCTTTTACCATTTGCTGTATTAATCTGGTCAGTACACTTCTTGTTCACTACATAATTGCCAAATGATTTTTTTTCTTCTAGTGCCTGAATTTCTCAGTACCTGAGAATAACTACAGTTGTTCTTGGACTTCAGTATTAGAAAACCCTGCTGTATGCTTGGAAGTTCTTTTCAAGTAAACAAAGCTGAAAACAATCTTCCTGTCCATTCATCCATCAATGACATAAACTTCAGTGGCACTGGACCATTTGTAGTTCTAATCACACTGTACCATTTGTCAAAAGCAAGGATTTAGCTGTAAGGCGCCTTCCCGGTATCCTCACTTGCTACCTCAAGCGGCAAACAGGTAAGCCATATTCAGTCTGTTATGCTTAGTCCCAGCCCAGGCACCATGGTGCCGTAACAATTTGTTTCACACAACTCATCTAAATCCTTACTCTCTCTTCCCACGTAAAAAACAGGTTTCTGGTGATAGATGTGGGTTCAGGTGGTTTATCTGTTCCTTTTTAATTTAGTGAAACTTGTGTGACTTGCTACACCCTTTATTCTGAAAGAGTTAACCACATGTCCAGAGTTTGCTTTTAGATGAATGCTTCAGTTTCGTTATGGTCTTTAGGAACAGAGCTCTCAGCCTGCATGCATTTCATCTAAAACATTTTTGATTGAGAGGCTGGGTTCCTCCCGACAAGGTCAGGAGTCATCTCTAGAGGGAAGATAGCCTTCCCCTGCCCCCCGACCCCCATTTCACACTCTGCAATAAGTAGGAAAAGTCTATAATTGAAAAATAGGTATTTTATTATGAATGATGATCTGTATTTAGAAGAACCAATGGTTCTTCTTCATGACTGACTTTGAAAAGAAATACCAGGTGTTCTTGCTATGGTACTTCATAACAACATAACTTCATAAACAACAAAAAAAAGTTCACTGGAATGGATATCAGAGGCCAAAGGCATTTGTTTTTCTACCTTTCATATTCCTAAATATGAAAAAAAGAAGTATGTATATCCTAAATATAATTTATTGAAATTACTAGCCCTGTGTTTTTCTTCAGTGATGCTTAATCTACCTGTAAACAACTCAATCACTGAAAAATTTTAAGTCCTTTTTTTATTTAAAGGAAGCAAACTGCTCTGCAGCTGCCTTTTTGGACCAGCTACTGGGTACCTATGTAACTATATATCTCATATAATTGAGTTCCAGTGCATTTATGGATTTTTTTTTTTTTTCAAAAATAAGGTTTTTTTTAAGAATCCCAGGTCTTTCAAACCCAGGTCTTATTAATTTTGTGTATCTATCTATCTATATACACACACAAAGATCAATTCAAACTGTGATAACATATAAAGATGAAGAGTAGCTAAGTTGATTTAATGTCCACCTATAGGAAGGATTAGGAATAAAGGACATGAAATCCAGTGTGCTAGACGAGACAAATGTCCCATTGTCTCAGTTTAAATTCCTTGTGGTGAAACAGTGCCCCCTGATGTCCAGCGAGCTACCTGGAAATCAGAAAACTATATTCTTCCAGATACTCTTGAATGAATTGTTCAACCTTCTAAAAGCTGCAGTTAATAACAGGCAAAGTTGAGAACCAGTTAAATCCACTATGTCATGCAGAGGATTTAGAGTCAGGTGAAGTTCAGTTTCCTTATCGTCACTGTGTTCAGGCATCAACCTTTCCACGCTGATGTTTTTTCATGATGTTTCCAAGATGAATCCTTGAGTCATCCCCATCTCAGCAATCCTACCTCAGTCTGTAGAGTCCAGCAAGGAAAGAAAGGTAAAGCTGCAGACGTTCTCACAGCTTTTTCTCACAACTTTGGTTTTCTCAGAGTCTCAGCCAAGGTTATGCAGCTGGTCTGTACCAGAGCAGAGCCCTGGGTCCTGGGAGGTAGGGGACAGAACAGCAGGGGTTAAAGAGTCACAACACGTGTTGAATAACTTGATTATAACAGATCTTTGGGCTTAATTATGTTCTTAACATTTCTTTCCTATGACATGTATGTGGATATTTAAAGTTGTATACTCTACCGAATGTGCAATAATCCAGAATTTTCTATAGGCTAAAATTTAAAGTTTGTTCAGTATGATATCTATAACCATCCCTGGCCTCCCAGGGTAATTTTTAATAGTATTATAAAAAAAAAAAAAAAAAAAAAAAAAATCTTTGGGAAAAAAAAAAATCTTTTAATATTTCATTGCAGAACCACCAGCTCAAAAAAAAATATTTTAGAAAGGGGAGTGTTACAGGAAAAAAAACCCATACAAACCCTGGAAAGCTCTGTGTGGATAAAGATCTACGTTGTAAGCCACTTTTTATCGATAAGCCAAGGAATACAAATGTGTAGATGTAAAGAATAAGAATGCATGCACTTCACAATTATCATTGCAGTTTTATGTTTTGCAGTAGGGCAAAAAAATGACAGAAGCTTGTTTCCTAGTCTGAATGGTTTAGAGAGTTATATGGAAGCTTCTGTAACTTTTCTTTGTTTTCTGCAGTTATCAAATGAATGGTAATTAATTGAAGAGCGCTTTGAGTTCCTTAGATGAAAAGTATTATCAAAAATAAAGAACAATTTAATGCAGGGTAACTCAACCTGAACACGTTTATGAAGAGAGGACCCCAAACAGACTTTTGCCCAACTGGTGTATTTGGTACTCTCTCTGCCCCGCTGCCAAGTTTCCCGATTTCAGCCTATTCCATACAGAGACGTTGTTAGTTCATACATTTACCACTTCCTTTCTCTCTCTGGAGTACACGATCAGAAACTTGATATGACCTTTCCCTGAATACGCTCACTAACTCAGAGCATCTAAATAAAAGTATCTAGCAAATGATTAATAAAAGATGAGGAAGGAGTAAAAAGGCCTCTCTTCGCATTACCATAACCAATGAGACCAGTTACACTTTAATTGGCCTGTACAGGACGAAACCATGAAATGGGATATATTTCTTGCCATCTTCCTGGAATACAGCTTTAGCTTTTGTAACAAAAGACAACAGTAAGATTTCACACTGAATCTTAGTAGTGAAGGGAGTTTTTAATTCTTGATATTGCATTTCAATAGACTGCCTTGGACCAACTGCATACTACATGCATTAATTGCTTCTGTGGCAAAGTAACAGCAGGGTATATTGCACCTGCATTTTTAATGAAGTTAGGTATGCCTTCTCCCTCGTGTCCTGTGCCTCCCGGGGAGACGTTGATCATCCTGGGGAGATGTTTCAAGGAAGCTTTTGCAATGGCGTTGGGCAGCCGAGAGGTTAAAGTCACGTTTGGGGACAGCTGACGGCGGAGGCAAGAGCAACGGCGGCGGAGGGACGCTTCGCCCGGCGCGGTGCCCGCTCTCCCCTCAGGCCGCGCCGGCAGCGCCCCCGCTCACACCGAGGGCTCCCCCGGGAC